GAAAGAGACCCGGAAATTCTGATGTCATCACGTGACCTCAGAATAAAATATTCAATAAATAGAGTTGTAATAAAGATAGAGCGTAGAAACTTTTTATTCCAAAGCTAAAAGACTTCTCTAAGTAATATATAAATATGTATTCGATAATTTTTACTTTTCCGGCTGTTATATATAACAGGGGAAAAGTGTAGCGCTCGGTCAAAAAATGACCCCTCCCAAATTTTTAATTTTTGGACTCGGGACACCTTGAAATTTCGAGATATGCAAAAGATCCGAGGTGTTTTTCTATGTGTGGATGTTAGACTGTGTGTGGGGGGGCATGATTTCGTTCACCCTGTTTGAAGACTAATAATTTCTGTGGTCAGAGTGGTAAGAATACGAGTCCGATGGTTTAACACAGGAGTTAGTTATTTAAGTCAAAGTGGTTGAACTAAATCGTGTCCCCATATACATTCTAACATCTTAAGCGAGAACATCTTAACGGGTTTAACTGTACTATTATAAAACGGTAAAAAAGCTTACTTTGAGGGTAAAAACGAGTTTTATTTTATTTTATTAAATTTTGAACGCTAATAACGAGTAAAATATTCATTAAGAGACATGACACATGACCACTTTTATGTCTTCACCCTCTCGACCTTTAATTAAGAACCAACATTTAATAGTATTAATGCCCCTTTATACGCAAGCTACAGTGCCACATTTTGTTTCTTAAACTTTACCTGTTCTGAGATATTGTTTAATATCTCAGAACAGAAAATAAAGAAATTAAACAAATTAGACGCCAACACACGCGCGCGCAAATTTTTCCCCTTTATTTACTTTTTTGAGGGGTTCGGGAGTTCTCCAAACATGTGGATTTGCAAAAAAAACTTGGAGGGTGAAATTTGACACGATTCCAATACTTTTCCGTTTTGTATACATAACAAGTTGGTAAGTAAAAAGGAGTCGGAGTCGGCAGATTTTTTGACAACTCTGACTCCGACTCCGGCTAAAACATCAAAACTCCATGACTCCGACTCCACAGCCTTGATTTTACATTAAACATTTATATAATATTTGTATTTAACTTTAATTTTTGCAGAATTTCAATAAATTAAGCAGTATATTTGTGTATAAGAATATTTCAAATTTATTCTTTTTATTTAACTTGATAATTCAAAATTTATCATTTATTCATTTAAAAATTAATCATTTA